TTACTGAAATTGCCATTGCATTAGTTCAATATTACCCTTTTCAATTTAATCAATTTAGTTATAAAACAATGGCAATTTGAGTAATATTATAATCAATTTTGGATATTTTTCTAAATGTACTTCTCTTTTAATATTATAGAGATTATTCGAATCACAATAATTTATTGTCAAATCTATCAGTTTCAAATTTTTTTTTGGTCACAATCTTTTTTTTTTTCTTTTTAACATCTAATTCATTCATTTATTTCAAATCGTAAGCAAGAGTTATACATCAATAATGAGCAAATCCAAATACACATCTACAATTACATATTAAAACATTAAAAAGAACGATGAAGAAGTGAACTTCCACGATGTTTTCGATACCGAAACCTTACTCGCCAACATGTTAATAAACATGTTTCTTTTCCTCTCCAGAATCAATCGTTTTTGGCTATCATCTCTTGGATGAAACTCCATAGTCGTCTAATGTTATTGATAATACTCCATATCCTCTCTTGCATCGATTCTTCGATTCCCCATGAATAAACTATACCCGGATCCCAAATTCGCTGATCGAGACACCTTATGCCTCTTTGGAATATACATTCAAACACATCCATTGATCGGATATTGGGCATCACGGAGATAACGGGTTGGTCTTGGAAGAAATCAAAACATTGACACATTCCAACGACGAACCATGAATGAAAAGCCTCCATAACCGGAGGAAGTTGCCGGAAACGTAACTGTTCCCATTTGCCAAAAGAAAAAATCCTAATCCAAATTCGAAAAACAAACTTTTTGGATAGTCGCACCTTATTCCTTTGTGATTTCAGATATGTCGCTGATATTCCTTGAACCAAGGACTGCATCAAGAGAAACACGAAGTGATAACCGATGATCTCTGGTGAAATCTCGAACGCAATCTCCGCCACCATCAGAAGAAAGAGAAAAGACCGGAGAGAAATCCTTCTCAACAAGGCAATACCCATCCAAATTATTGTAGAAAGAAAATAAAATCTAAAAATCTACAAAGCCACTGGCAATAGAAGTTACGGGTGTGTTTGTTGAATCGTCTTGTTAATCGCCTATCAGAGAGGAATCAATTGCTGAAATGGTGTTGAGAAGGAGAACAATGATCTCAGATGGTGTTGATATAAACAGAATTTWTTTTTWTTTTTTTAATAATAAAAATCGAATGAAAACACAATTCTGTCCTTACTAGTTCAACTTATTTACAAAAAAACCAGGCTCTAAACCAGACCGAAATGGTTTCGAATCAGTTACCCAAACCGAGACGGTTTTTTTCCCAAAACCGAATCGACGGTTCGAGATCATCTTCTTCTTCGAGAAACCAGTTTCTTTTTTTTCTTCTGAAAAAATTCGAAATTCTGCATCAATCCATTTTCTTCTACAACTGATTCCTCTTTTTCTCTTTTCTTCTCCAATTTCGATTGATTTCTCTCTTCTAATCCACTCAATTCTTCGATAACATGCCACCTAAAACCAAAAAGGGAAAATCCCCATCGAAGACCGAGAGTT